TACTTACTTACTTACTTACTTGCTTACTTGCTTACTTGCTTACTTACTTAAAATTATATCTCCCGCCCATATAGATTCGGTCTACTCTGGACAGCATTACAAAATATAAAAACCATAGAACCAGCAAATATGTAAAAATCCAAGATGTAAAAATGTAAATATTAAGATGCAATCAATATCTAAATGCTATAAACAGTTAGTATATTTTGATAATGTCATTGCTGCTCAGGATGATCCTGAGTATGGCTTTGAATGCCAGTACGGCTGGACCAGAAAAATATTTCCCAATGTTGCTGGAGGAGCTAAGAAGAGATTATATCATCAGCACCAACAGTTCTTGTCACTGCTGACACTACCGTATATAGGTCTTTATGGTAAAGAGAAATGTAGATATTAGCATTAGGACTGGTATCAGAGCCAGCACAGGCCTTATGATGAGCTGAGTTAAAAGTTAGCAGAGGTTTGAGCCCACCTTATAAATACCATGGCAATTTTAACAGTGAAATTTGTGGTCCAAACTGTCCAGTTACAAACGCAGGGTGCATCACTGTCCACTGCATGTCAGCAACAGCACTCTTCTTCTCTTGGAAGCCCTGATATTTGAAAAGAGTACAGTGTGTCTTATGGAGGCTTGAGAGAGACCAACCTTTTCAAAAATTCTGTATCAAATACAGGAAGAGTAAATAGGACTGTGGATACCGTGGCTCTCTTGAATCATTCTATTTTCTCTTTTTATCAGTAATTATCATAGCAATTTAGCTAGTTATGAAAATTCCAATTGTTTTCACTGAAATTCTCCTCACACTTTCAAAAAAAAATCTAATCCTGAGTCTATTTACACACAACAGTCAAGTTTAAGCATATGTAAGTGGGCACAATAGCCAGTTAATTATTTTCATAAGATCTCTTAGTTAAATTAGAAAGAATCAAAGCATTTGAGGTTGTCTGTCCTCTGCTTAACAGCATCTACTAATTGCTTGGTAAGCTGTAATCCACCGTGAACGCTGCCTGAAAATTATCTTGACGTTTGTTAATATGCTTGTGATATAGAATTTTGCATTTTCAGGATGAAAGCTCCATAGAAAGTGATGAATTTGATCTGAGTGATTCCACCAGGATGTCTGCTGTAAACTCTGACCTCAGTTCAAATCTAGAAGAAAGAATACAGAGTCCACAAAATCTCCAAGGACAGCAAGATGGTAAGCTTAGTGTTCAACAAATGGAGCCGAGTTAAATTTGTTACTTTCTTTTTCCTTTGTTTATTCTCCAGGGCAGGTAATTTCTATGGTTTAGTCGTCACTTATTTAGTAATCAATGGTGTAATTTTAAACTAATAATTCTGAGGACATAGACAGGATATACAAATAGGAACAGAGAATGAAAAAAGGAGATGAGGGCAGGAGATGAAATTGTTTACGCTATTATCGGTGGACCAAGTTGCTTCTGACCTGGGGATGCAGTATCATTTACTTTGTATGTGAATAACTGCAGGTACTGGTTTTTGTCCAGCTGACTAACTTTGCTTACTTTGTGCTCTCTTCCAGACACAAAAATATCCAATCTTATCTGTAGTGCATTACTAGCAAAGGTGCCTAGCTTTGGCTGGATTATAAACCCATTAGACCCATGTCTCCTTCCCAGTACTCTGTCCTCTTACCCTACCCTAACACTTTCCCCCACACACTGGTCTTTTTACTCTCTCTGCCCCATCCTTCAGCCCAGTACTCACAGGATAGAAATGTACCTTTTGGGATAACATCTCCCAGTCCTGCTCGGTAAATCAAGGTATGACCCATCCATTAATCTAATTTGGAAAACAGATTATTCATCCAATATGTTGCATCTCTAACTCTATTCAATTCAACAAGAGGACTACAACTCCTAAAATCCCCCAGTAACTTCTTTGGATTTCAACTCCCAAAGTCCGCCAGCCCATATCCACAACAGAGATATAACATATATAGTTATATAAATTGGGGAATGAGTAATATTTGTGCAAAGTATTTTTCCTGCTCTGGCTATTTTAGTAAGAGAGTTGCAGCTCCCAGAATCCTACAGCCTGCCTAGCTAGTCAAAATCTAACTGGTATAATTATTTAATTTAGGACCTCATAGGTGTTAATGCAAATTACACATTTTTATCTATTATCACTTCAGAGATTTTAAAGATAAACACACATGCAAAGTTACTGCTTGATTTATATTATTTAGGGACAGTGATCTCTACAAATATATTCTATCATACAGTATGAGCTAAAGGCTACCATACATCTATATGGAAAAGATAAAATGCTGCACTTAAGAGTGATCACAATGGAGCAAAACTCGCTATTCCTGGGTACATTGTATGTAAAGAACTGCCCTTGAATTTGCTGAAGAATGACATCTGTGAACTTTCTCTATGACAATAATGGGGAGTACATTAAAGGAAAACAAACAGAGATCCCTGGCAAGAAAGGCTTAATAATTGTACTGCACAGACATAGATCAAAATCCTGTTGGATAGCTTTGCATGTACAATAAAGATGACAGCAGCAGTACCAGCAGCAAACTGCTATTGATTAAAGGTGATCCCAGGTGCACACAGCTCATACACAATGCAACCAATTTGTCTGCACCACAAAATGACCAAAGAAAGCCTTTGGTCATATTTGCCACTGCTGATGACCTCACCAATATTGTACACAAGGAGCAAAACAACAGGATTTCAGCCACAGACGGACAACTTTCAGACTGGTATCTAGCATTATTTCATCTTGAATTTAACACAGCAATATTGGAACAGAGTTCTCTCTGATTATGGCATGTACAGTATATTGCTGAAAACCACCTTCAGTTGTCTTTTTCACTGGTGGTAGAATAGATGAGAGTTCATTCAAGAAAGACAATAACAATGATGGTCACTGATTCCTGTGAACAGAGGGATGTGTGGATCTTTTAATGCAGGAATGGATTATCTAAGTGGACTTGGGGCCAAAATCCTGTCCCCAGATCCCACCGTGAGCCACACACCAAGTCTGTAAATGATTGGTAACAGACATTAAAAAAACAAAAAGGAAGGGGAAAATAACTGTTCCTCCAATTACATAAATCTTTTTGTGGTAAAGTTTTTGTTTGCTTGCTTGTTTGTTGTATTTTACCGGAGGCATGTTCTAGGGTGGTCGTGGGACCACTATAATGTTCTTGTGGGTCTTTATGAAGCTCTGAGGCCTCATGTTGTTCACTCCAACTGTAGGTTCCCCTTTATACTGGTGCCAGTTTTATGTACATAAGCTGTATTCAGTTATTAAGCTGAATGTGAGGAAGGAGGGAAAAGTGATACTGTGTGATATTTCCACTCCCTCACCCTGTGCATAAACCATACTATCTGAACACGTGAGCTGTGATAGGAGGGATGCACTGAAATTCTGAAATAAAACCTAAAATTCTACTTCTCTAGTCTCCTCCAGTTTGCTGCTGGAGGAGTGGAGCACAGTTTGCTATAACTAGCAACTTGTAGGGTAATATGGGAAACCTGTCTCCAATGTGGTACCTGCTCCTCTTGCTGTGTTGACTTTAGGCTGTTGCCCCTTTCCCAGCAAATTTGGAACTGAACCACGAACCAGAAAAACTGACAAATCAGGTTGATTTCTGGTTTGGTTTGTGACCAGTTTGTGGATCCTCTTTTGTCCAAGCCAAACAATGCATTGAACTTTTTTCCCTTGACACTTCTTCACTCTTTCCACACCTCTTCACTCTTTCCACTGCCTCTGTCACCTCCCTACCTGGACCTGCTACTGCTATTTCCACAACTGCTGCCATCATCAGAGACAGCAGGGAAGTTGGTTGCTGTGTTCTGTGCATGGGCTCGCTTCCCAGCTGATGAGGGTTTTCAGCTGGGGGGTTAGGAACATGCATAGAGGCAGCACCCAGGCTCCTGGAAGGGAAGCTGTGCTGCCACTGCTGCCATTGCACCACAAAGAGTACAGGGAGGTGGTGATACGGCTGCTGCAGTGTGAGGACAGTGGCAGTGTGACAAAAGCAGGTAGCCCCACCCCCTGGACAAGAATTGAAAAATGAACTGCAAACTGGTCTGGTTTTCTAATTGGTTTGTGGTTCATGACTGACCTTGAACCAACACAAATCACCATTTTTCATGCCCATCTTTAACTGACATATGTCCATTTCAAAAATCTCCTGAGATGTTGCTGTAGCAGGCTACTCTCAAGCCTCTACCCATCCAGACCTCTAAGAGTGCTCACTACTTCTCTTCAAAACTTCTGCCACCAACCTATCCTTAAAATCAAAAGGACAAGTGTTTCTTTCAAAACAAATAAAGTGTTTATTGATTTGTACAAAAATAAAAAGGGTGAACCATGTATAAAATCAATTAGTCAATCACTGTTTATAAGACACTAACTCACAGACTTTTCCCTCACTGACAGGCTCTTTCTCACTCTCTATCAATCTCTCTAATCACTCATCTCTCAAACTGATCTGCTCTCCTCTCAGACATCACACACACCTTATATAACCCAGCTCCTCCCACTTCTGCACCACCCTCTGTCCTCTCATTGGCTGAGGTTCCCCTGCCCAGCTGTGACGGACAAGTGAGAGCAGAGCTGTATGCCACAATTGCCCTCTTTGTAGCTTCCTACCCCAGATAAATGTATTCTTACAGAAACCTCTGTTTCTTCCCCACATATAATATTCTACTCCAGCACCTGAAGCTCGCCTTCTACTCCTGTGTAATTCTTTGCAGCTGTTGCTGTTAGTATCTCAGAGCCACAAATGGTCTCCCAGAGTAAACTTGAATGCAGAATCTATGAAACTGGTGGTGTGAAACTGTTGACCATGATTGTTTCCATGATTTTAAACTGTGGACTACTAGATCGAACATATGAACAGTTTATTGACTAGGGCTGCAGTCCCATGCACATGTGCTCAGGGCATATTTAAAGGTGG